ACTAAAGCTAAATATGATTATTTGATTTATACAAATTTTACCTATTTTTTTTTTACTTTTTAAAAACGTGACCATAAGATTTTAAATTATATATGAGGCTCATATTACACTGGGTACCATTGTTCCACAACTCTAAATCTTTACACAGGCACATTTACAAACCGAGTGGAGGCCGAGGATGCATAGCACACGTGACTGTCATCAACTGCATGCTTCCCCAGGCTTCTGGCTATAGTTTATCAAGGAATCATTCTGAAATTGCAGGGGCTGATTAGGTGGTTACTAGCATCGAATTTCTACCTAAAATCAACCTCTTTTTCTTCCTTTTTTTTCATTGATTCTACCACTACCATTATAAAAATTAAACTGTCCTAGCTTCATCGTAAAGATAAAATGACCTAATGTGTGCTGAACTCGTCTTACAAATTTCAGTTGAGTCAGAGTCAGCCCTTCCTCTCTTGCTTTTTCATAGCCAACAACTTTCCACTTGTGCTGGAAGCTGAGAAGTGGGGTGAAGCCCAGCACCCAGGCATGCCCAGCAGGTGGGCCGCCCCCAACCCCAAGCATCGCAGGGCACTGGACTCCAGGAGGTCTGGGCAGACTCTGGTCTGAAATGTGCCAGTGCTGTGTTTGTCTCTGATAGTTTATGTGGCAGTGGCCTGAACATTATCACGTTCTCTGCAGAGTCACCGGCTCCATGTGAGAAGGTAGCTCTGGTGATATTCACTCTGCACATGTCAGCTGGAGATCGCAATGTCTGCCTGTGTTTGTTTGCTTTTTATTGTCTTGGTCTTAAGCCCAAACAAACTGTCAGTTATCGATAAGAAACATGTCTAAGAAGTGGGATGTGTTGGGGGTGGGGCTACAGCCCTGGAGAGAGACATCTGTGCACGCCTACTTTACACCCACAGAGCACATGCTTCTTGTGGACGGTCGAGTCTTCTGGGTACAGACCTAGGGCTCTCCTGCTAAGCCCACAGGGAACTGTCCTTCTAACTCAGGGACAAAGTGCATAAATCTGGTGGTTTTGCAAAAAGAGAAGAATGTCTATAATCCAACACCTTTTGGAGGGAAGCAGATGGAAACTAATGAGGAAAGAAAAGCAAGTATCTCTAAACCTCTTTCCCTGATAGCTTCCACTGGAAAGTAAAATCAATATGTTGCCCTTGGCTTTGGCTTTGGCTAGATAATCCATTCATGCAAACATCTGGGACGCAGAACATAGCCCCATGTTGCATCGGGAGAAGAGCAACTGCAGAAGCCATTTACAGGCTTCACTTCTTGCCACCCTCAGAGATAATTAGGAGCTTGGTGGCTTCCCAAGAAACACCACACAAGGACCTGGGCTGCTATGATGGGACCCTCCCTTGCTCCTCAACGCACCTGAGGCCAGGGGCTCCTAGCATTGTGTCCACTCTCTCCTCCTGGGCAGGCAGGGCCCTGAGAAGCCAGCCCCACCCTGGAGTGCCAGGGAGCAAGGCCAGGGGAGGGCAGAGCCTACAACAGAAGCTGAAGGGCGGGAGAGGACGGGTAGGAGGGAGTAGGACCGAGTACAGGACAGTATGGGTCCCAGACTTGAGAAAGCTGGCCTGGACTAGAGGACGGGGGAAACCAGCTAAGAAGCAGCCTCAAGCCCCCAGGACTGGACTCCTGCTGTGTACTACAGGGCAGTTGAGGTCTGGGTCCAGTAGGAGGAAGATTTGGACAGGCTGGCACAGGTCAGACTTTGCCACTGCCGTTCCATTACCTTTGTCAGGCTGACCCCATGCACTGGAGCCACCAAGGCATGTGACAGCAACATTAAGTACATGCTGTGCATGCACTGTGAGAAAAATGTAGACTCCTTTGCAAAAAATAATTCGTAGAAACCAGAGGACAAAAATATTCTTTTAAATTTTGATTATTAAAAATTTGCTTTATCAGGTTGGTGCCTGTAGCTCAGCAGCTAAGATGCTGGCCATATACACCAGGGCTGGCAGTTCAAACCCAGGCCAGGGTAGCCAAACAACAATGACAACTATAAAAAAAAAGAAAACAGGGAGTTGTGGGGGGCGCCTGTAGTTCCTGCTACTTGGGAGGCAGAGGCAAGAGAATCGCTTAAGCCCTAGAGTTTGAGGTTGCTGTGAGCTGTTAGGCTGCGGCACTCTACCAAGGGCAACATAGACTGTGCCTCAAAAAAAAAAAAAATTCACTTTATCATTCAAGCTATTTTGTACTAAAATACCATTCTAAAGAAAAAGGATAAAATGCTCTTACCCTGGTTTATCTTCTGCAAGAAAATCACACTGGCTGGTTTGCTGTCTGGATTTCTTTTCTTTTCTTTTTCTTTTTTTCCTAAAGAAACATTTTGGAGGCTGGTAGCCTTAGTAACTCTCTCTCTCTCTCTCTCTATTTTTTTTTTAATTTTAAGTTACTGTGAGGGTACAGACAACCAGGTCACAATACCTGGATTTATTAAGGAGAGTCCCACACCCAAAAGGTATGTCATACACCTTCTGTCTGGATTTCGGTCTCACCCTTGCCTTTCCTTTAAGGATTTGCTATTTGTATATCATCAGAATAATCCTATACATGTGCGTTGACTTCCTCATGCAACTTGCCCACTTAAACATTGCTTTGTGTTTCTGTGTAACATTTGTGACACCATAGACACCGATTTTTATGCCCTTTGACTTTCACACTGTAACTTGTAGAGTCCTTTACATGAACACAATGACACTTTTGTGTTTATATTTTTCCTTGTTTTGGATTACTTCCTAAAAGCAAATTATTAAAAGAGAGATTGATGGGCCAACGTTCTTACAAAGATAAAGTGACTTTTATCTACTTCTTGGTGTGTTTTCACACTATCTTCCAGTTAAAACCAGAAGTAGCAAGTGTGGGTGACACAGACTTACCTCCTCTTCATCAGCTTGGTGGGATTTGTTTTTTTTCCTGGTTTAACATTTACAAAATGGTAGAATCAGTGGAACTTTTGTCTTACATATATTTTTAAGCTTTTATTGATATTGTGTTCAGTGTCTCATAGAGTGATGTGTTCTTGCATACTTTGAAGTAAAAATACTTACATGATTTTCTTTGGCTGAGATTTTTAAGCCTCTTAAACTAAGAGTAAGCATTTAAAGAGCATTTCCCATTTCAAATTGTTATTTTATATAACAGCTTCCATTTTTTTCTGCCATATGTTTTATTAAGTACATAAATTTAAGTGTATTTAAACCATCACATTTCATGAAAGAGAAAAACACTTTAGTAAAGTGCATTCAGATAATTAAAGTCCTTGGCAAAAGCAGAAGAGAGACATCCGAGCGCCTCTTGTGGTCCTTATTAATCGGTCCACATGCACACACATCTCCAGCCAGAGGCCTTTGTCTGGGTTGTCAGAGGACATTAGCTGAGACTAATCTGGAAGCCACTTCCTGGCTCCCAAATGGACATAGTCACCAAGCAAGAAAGACTCATTTATCAGAATAAAAACTTTGCTACGTGAGGATTGTACAAAGCTTATTTCATGCATCATTATCTGGGCCTGATTAGCAATGATGGAGATTGGTCCTCAATTTGAACAATCAGTGGAAAACAAAGTTGAAAACAAACCTTCAGCTTTCACTGAAGATAGACAATTGCCATAGACATGTCTCTATGTTTTCTGCACAATAGGAAAACAGAGGCAAGAGCCCTTGCAAAGACAGCTTTCAAATTGTTTTGGCAGCAGTTGTCTCACAGTTCCCATTGTTCCCATGACACAAATCAGGCAAGATTTGACCAGGCAGGTCAGCGTCCTGCTGGACACCCCGTGCCGCAGGGGCCACGTGTGCCTCTTGGCCTCAGTTGTGGCTGGTCCTCCTCGAGCTCAGAAGCAGACAAACTTGGGTTCAGATGCCAGTGTGGCCTGGGCAGCTCTGCCAATTTCTCTGAGAAGTTTCCTCTCTGTACAAGGACAATAGCAATACCACTAGACAAGTTGCCTGTGAGAATTGTAATGAGATCACTTGTGCAAAAGAGCCCTGTCCAGGGCCTGGCCGGACAGTCTTCTTCTGGGAGCTTCCTCCTGTGGGGTCTGAGAGGAGCCCTCCGGATGTGCACAGGGCCGAGAGTGGGTGAGGTTGCTGCATTTCTGTGGTGTGATGTTTGCTGTCACCATCCCCCTGTCTTTTTGTTCCCAGTTAAGGATCCCAGGGAGCACAGCTCTGCAGGTGGCATGATTAGCCCCCCCCCAAGGCACTGTCCCCTCTATCACCCACAGCAAGGATTAAGTCAAAAGTAAAGCTATAGAACAGGGACAGACTGGAGAATCTGTAAGAGCCCTTTATTGCAGAAGAGTGAAGCATCTCTCCTTTTCTGAACCTAGCAGGGCGGGTCACTGCTAGGGAGGGCATTGGTGGAGCCTGAGCTTATCAAGTGGGTAAGACCTCTGAGAACACTCTCCACACAGCCCTGCACGCCTCTCCCCAAGGGCGTCCTCTGTCCGTCGTCTCTGGGCTCTAGGGGCACTGCATGCAAACTCCCTGTGTGCTCGGGAACAGCCTGGCTGTGCACTGTCCCGGGGTGAGGTGGCCAGCCTCTGGACATGTGTGTGTGGGTGAGCTTAGCCTCTGCATGGCCTCACTCCTTCTTGCCAGGTGAAGGTGCCGGTAACCCGGTGTACTGTAATGTGGACCCACAAGCATGTCCTATGTTCTCATAAACTTGTCTCTGTGCAGTGGGATTCAAACTCACACTCAGAGCTTCAGAGTGAATGATAGCTGTGTTTGGTTTGAGTGTTGCCAACACTTGGGGGCCCCATACGCACCAATCATACACACTCCCCTTATGCACACATACCACGCACGTGCACACACTGTGTCTCAGGAGTTCTGAGGACAGCAGTGGTCCAGTGAGTATGTGACTGCTGGAATTTTAATGTATGCCATTTCATGCACAGATACTTCTGAAAATGAGTACATTAAATCAATAATCAGAGAAGTGAGTGTTCTGCTTTTCTTTTTGGTTTTCCCTAGAACTGAAAAGGCTGCCACTGCCTCAAAGGATGATGAAGACCTGTTCACCGGACAGTTCCATGAAACCCTTGCAGAGCTGGACGGGGACCTGGAAGGTAAGAGCCTTGAGCTACTGCTTTGGTGTCATGCTGTGTGACAGTAGATGCCATAGCATCTACATGTGTGTGACTATGCGCATAGTCTTCAGAAGGAGACACGGCTTGGTTTGAATAAGCCTGGACTCAAGGGCCGAGCTCTCTGGTGACCTTGGTTCCCACTGGCTTCTCATTCTGGCCTCAGCAGAAACATGGAAATGTGTAGACAGCTGCTTACAACGTGCTCCGAATATTAATTTTGTGCACTAAAAAGCACTGCACACATTCTAGGGGAACAAAGGATGGCACCAAGTAAGCAGGTTTCCTTATTCACACTTGCCCCTCTTTCCTTGCTAACCACTGGCCTGTCTCGCAATGAGAGGTGCTTCCCTTTACCCACAGTGCACACATCGTAACGCAGCGTCCATGGCACTGCTATCCTGCAGACATACTGTGAGGACATAATATAGAAGGCCAAGGCAGATGCAAACATTTCAGTTAACAATGAGAGGGTCTCTCAGACAAAGGAGTTATGTTCTCTGAGGCATACATTGAAAATAAACTAGAAAATAGATATTTGTCATCCATAAAGCAAAACAGAAAGGAGGCAGAGGAAGAAGAAACAGACTATAAAACTGATCAGTAGTTTTGTCTGACTCACTTTTCAGTTTCCTGTCCCCAGACTATGTGGCTGGCAGAGCTGAGAAATCTGGATCGGCCTGCCTGTGTCCCCCAGGCTCTGACCGCACAGCCTCATCCTCAGTCAGCACTCAGAAGCACCGTGGTAATTCCCAGGCACTCAGGACTTAGTCATCCGCCTCCTTAGGGAGTTGAGGCTGGAGGAGGTGGTGCTGTGTTTCTGGTGGGCCTGAGTCCTGGAGGTCAAAACCCAAAATTCACTTTCATATTCCTTTGTTGAGAAGTTTTCCAGAGGCTTGGATCCAGAAATCTATTTCTTAAATGGAGAACATTGGCCAAATTTTGTAACTTGATCCCTTACCTTGAAACACTATGGCTCTGAAGAATTCCTGTGTTGAGTGATGAAAGTTGAGATCCTGGCCCCAGGCATGTTATGTAGATTAAAACCAAAATACCATTCTAAAATGTTATTAGGAGGAGACTCTAAAACGCATGTAAACAACTTAGTCCGGGGTATCCTCCGGGAGATCAAAGTCAGGGCTGCAATTAGAGTGGGTAATTGGCAGGGAACCCAGCAGACACAGCCAGTCTCTCACTGGTGTTTGTCCTTCTTTGCAGAAATGGAAGAGAATTATGAGACAGACACCAGCTCTCTGACCAGCTCCACGCCTGGCATATCCAGCCTCTGCTCACAAGATGCCATGAGCCCCAAAAGTGACATAGACACCATCCCAGTAACATTCATCGGGGAGGTTTCAGATGATCCTGTGGATTTGGGGTCTTTTTCCAATAAAAACAACAATGCTGGTTCTTCTGACACAGAGGATCCTGTGGGCAGGAGAGCCCATCTGGTACCACCTCAGGCTGAGCCCAGCCAGCGCCATGGGACAAGGGAGGACACAGCTGCCCGCTGCCCTCCCTCTCACGATGTTGGAAGAGGAGCACATTCAGGCTCATCCACCACCTGCATGGACAGGAACTCGATGGAAATGGGGCCCAAGGTGACTGTTTTTGCTTCGGATACTCACAAAGAAGATCTTGCAGACACAAAGAGGCGAGACCCTTGGCGTGGCTGTCCCTCCAGGGAGAAGACACAGGCTGTGGAGAAGGCCAACACCCAGTCCAGGAATGAAAAGGGGGACAGGGACAAAGGTGCTGTCTCGGCACCCCCATCCTGGTGTCAGCGAGGCCAAAACCCAGCTGGTAGTTACGGCCTTAAGTATGGCCTCACAACTTATAAAATTGTTCCTCCAAAGTCAGAGATGAGGTGTTACGACAGAGGTGTGTCCCTCTCCACAGGCGCCATTGAGATCGACGAGCTGGGGAACCTGGTGAGCCCCCCGGTCAGCAGAACCATCGCCCTGCCGTCAGCCAGTCTTGAAGCAGAAACTCAACCCATTGAGACAGTAAAGGAGTTCTGGAGGCGCAGCTCTGTGGAGAAGCCCTCGGCCCGTGGGCCTCCCATCACCCCCACCCCTGCCAGGACGCAGCAGGTAGAGACTGAGCCCTATGCAGACCCCACACCGGCACCAACCCCACACCTGTCTGCCCACCAAGAGAGTGGAGGTCACCTGGAGGAAGGGAGCAGTTGGCCGCCTATGGCAGTCGCCTCTCACTCAAAAGTGCCGACAGCCCACGCCACAGAAATCTCATTTCTCAAGCCTCACAGAAGGACGTCCAGCCAGTATGTGGCCTCTGCTATTGCCAAGAGGATAGGACTCCCGAAGGCCTACCCCAATATGGTGGGGTATGATCATGCCCAGAAGGGTTATGTAGGCAGGACGCCCACGCCGACCGGACAGCCTCTTGGTGGGAAGGGCAGTATGGCCTCCAGCCTGCATTCGGAGACACAAGGACGCAACAACAGTGCACAGCAGCCCTGCACCACCCATCCCAATAGCCATGGGGAGGAGCCAGCAGTGGGAGCCCATCCTGGAGGGGAGGTCAGCGGCCCACGTGGAAAGCTGTCTACTCAGGACTGTCCTGCTGGCGTCCACAAAAGCTCTAATTTCCCACTGTTCACATCTTCCCAGAGGGGTCATGTTTCTGTGGGACAAAGCTGTGGTTTCAGTGGAAAGCAAAGCACAGTGAACCAGGAGACGGGCTCAGCATGTGACCCTAAATGTCCCCTGAACAGGACAGACCCACACCCTGCACACTCAGCAGACGCTCGGGCCCCAGGCAGAGTGCTGGTGAATGGCTCTACGTGGACCCCTGGCAGCAGCAAACCTCCTCACTCTCCCGAAGAGTCTGGCACCAACAGCCACGTTATTCTAGAAAAAGAGGAAAAGCCCAGTTTGTTCTCTATAGATGGACATGGAGCAGAAAGTACTTTGTCGTCCAGCATTTTTGGGCCAAAGAAAAAATTCAGACCTGTTGTCCAGAGGCCAGTCCCAAAAGACACATCCCTGCACACCTCCCTGATGGAAGCCATCCACTCCGCAGGCGGGAAGGACAGACTCCGCAAGGTGAACACGGTGGCCTCTGGGGCCCCCTTCCTTCCGGGAGGTCTGGTCAGGCCTTCCACGCCTCTCCACTCAGGTACTCTGGTCCCAGACTCTTAGAATAGGATCAGATGGGACAAGGATAACAAGGGGTCGACACAGGGTCCATCTCAACTGGACCCTCTCTCAGTGCCTGCATTCAGCCTGGCACCCCTGTGGGGAAGATGTCAGCCAATATTGCCCATCCACTGGGCCAGAAGAGTGGAGAGGCCGGGGTGTGGGGCTGTGCGGGCACTGGTCCCGGCACAGTGGAGTGGGCGTGTAAGGCGTGCAGGCGGCCTCTCCTTCCCCGTGCGCTTGTGCTGTCATTCTTCAGTAGCATGAGAGCGCTTCATGACACTCCTCCCACTTAACACATTGCCACTGTTGTCTCATTTAAATGCTGCACCAACACTGATGACAAGCAGACAGTTCCTGCCTTTTACACATGGGGAAACTGAATCACAGTAGTGTAAAGGGCCCCATCCAAGGCCACACACTAGTTAATAGGGAGCCCAGATTCTCATCCAGGTCTGCAAGACTTAAGCTCACATATCAGCTCTGGAAAACCAAGGGGACTAATAGGGATGATCCCACACAAATAACCTTGGTACTGGTACATGCCTCTTGACAGCCAAGGACTTAGGCCTTAACCGCTGTGAATCGCTTTCCTTTTGAGCTGTTCAGCATTAGCATCTCTCCATTTTCCGCATGAAATGTCTTCACACTATTAATATTCCAGACTTCAGAGCACGCCTTGGAGGGACGGCCGAAGAAGCCATCCTATGTAGAGGCAGAGAGTGAGCGGTCCGCGCTGCTGGCAGCCATCCGCGGGCACAGCGGGGCCTGCAGCCTGAGGAAGGTAAGAGGAGGAGATTGTTGGAGGCTGCAGGACACCCATCCCAGCCCCTCTCCCTGGGACCTGGGTGGGTGCTGTACAAGGTTCTGTTACTCTGGGTGTGGGGTAGAGCATCTTAACACCTGCTGTCCCAGCCTGCCTGCAGAGGAGAAGTGAGTGTGCCCATCATGCTCCCACTCCATTCTGGAGGTGCGATTCCCTCCTGAACCTAGAACTGGGCATTTCAGCAGAGTCACTGAACACCCAGTGGGCTTCTAGCCCTAGACAGTCGGACAAGCAGAATGTAACCAGCTGCACACATGCTGGATTGAAGCCCCCGTGTGAATAGTACTGGTTTCCACACACCCTCGGGAGCCAGAGTGGACGGAAGTAGAGGCAAAGTGCAGCTGCCACAGAGATTGAGGAACAAGGCTCCCACATTCCTCACTAGGATTTGAGTATATGTTCTGCCCTCAGCAGCTGGTCGAATGTGCGTGTCCAGCCTCAGTTTCTATCCTCACATGCCAGAAAAGTTGCAAGATCAGAGAGTTCTCAGTAAGGCGGGCTGCCAAATTCAGGTCCCTGTGATCAGGGTTTGTCTCCTCCAATAGCTCAGCCATGGAGTAGACAAACTTCCCAGGCTTGTTGCAAAAGAACTGTTATGTCCAAGGGTAAGATAATCAGCTGTGCACTGCCATCTCAGAAAGGCGCTTTGGGGACATTATAACTGCCTTAGTCTTCAGGGTGCCATACAGAATTCTGTAGATAGGGTGGCATATAATGAATATAAATTTATTTCTCAGTTCTGGAGGCTGGAAGCCCAAGCTCAGGGCACCAGCAAGTGTGGTGTCCCGTGAGGTCATGCCTTCCAGTTTGTGGACAGCACCTTCTCTCTGAGCCCTTACAGGGTGGAAGGGACAGGGAGCCTCTGGGTCCTTTTTGTTGTGTGTTGTAAGGGCACTAATCCCATCTGTGAGGGCTCCACCCTCAGGATCTAATCACCTCCCCAAGTACAATCTTGCCCATTACTTTGGGTATCAGGACTGCATGTGTGTTTTGGGAGGGGTGAGCATTCCTGCTGAAGCAGCCATTTAACTGTCACCTTGGTAGGTGTCATCCTTCGCTGCTGAGGAGCTCCGAAGCTTCCGAAATGCCACGCTGTCTGCACAGAGCACGGAAAATCCTCAGCAAAAAGAGGATGTGCCCCCTTCACCCCCACCAGCCTCCCAGGCTCTGTCCACATCTAGGACGGCTTCCAGGTTCAGCACGGGCACCCTCGGCAACCCAGTGGACGCCAGGCAAGCCTTGATGGACGCCATCCGCTCTGGCACAGGGGCCGCAAGATTGAGAAAGGTGATGGTGCCTGTGCGTGGGGGCCAGAGGGCTGTGGGAGCACCAGGCAGTGCAGCTCAGATCCAGGAGCGCACCTGCCCATGATGAGAGCAGGGCAGTCGAGTGGGGTGCGATGGGATGGGGTGAGGGAGCTGATGGCACTGCGTCCCTCACATGTGCCAGGGGCACATGCAGGTTCCGTTCTGCAGGTGACAAAGTCAGCCTCGGCATGGTAGGTGCCCACCAGCTCCTGGGTGACAGAAGGGGAATCTGAGCCAGGCACCTGCAGCTGTGCTGTGCCAGGGACCTCATGGACAATCCATGCAGCACATGCCGCAGACACAGGCCCTGGCTTTCTGTCCGTCTCTCCCCCGTGCATGTTGCCAGGCCACTTGTGAGCCTGAGTCCCGCGGCAGAGCCAGCACTTCTGGTTCCTTCTGTGCGGTGGCCTGGCTCAGGCCTGGTCCCTGAATGTGGAGAATCTGTGCCCCCTGCAGTGGAATCCCTATGTTAAAGGACATTTGGGCCCAGTGTCTTCTGAGACTTAGTTAAGCTCTAGCGCGACTCAGTGGGTGACCCAGCCCTCTGTTGTTGTGGGTTTGGGGAGCTAAGCTAGTGATGGGGAGGTAGGGAAAGCCTGCTTTCTGACAGGTTGTTTCCAGCCCCCTAGAACTTGCCTTGGTGTGGGGGTGAAGTATACACAGCTTTGAGTGTGGCTCTGAGCAGAGACCCGAGGCATCACCCAGGGCCAGCCAGTCGTCCAATGCACGCCCTGCCCCAATGGAGGGACATGACTGACTATCCTTAGCCACAGAGGAGGGAGGGTGGCAAGTGTCACAAGGTCACCGTGGGGTACAATTAAAATGTATTGAAGGCTTTTGACGTTATTTATACTGTGGTATTTTTGTGGAATGTATGTGTTGATGAATTTATGTACTTAGGTACAATGAGGGGAAAAGGAGGAAATTGGGGTGAATGGCTCAAAAGCATCCTAAAAGCACAGATCTGATGAAGGTGGCTGTGTCCCTGTGGTTCCGGAGTGTCCTCTGTGCCCCAAACATGGGGCAGTAGCAAATTTCAAGGGCTAGATGGCTCAAAGTCTTTCTGGAGACATCACAAGCAATATGGTCCCCCATCAGCTTCACAGCCTGGTGGGTCCCCAGGCATATTTCTGAGTCTAACACTGTATGTCAGTGTGAAGTCTGCAGAACACCTGCGTCCTGGGTCAGAGTTTTCAGGGGTCTGGGCCTACAAAGGTGCAGCCTTCACAGGTTTGCTCTGTAGCTTCGCAGGAAGGTTGTTGACATGGTCTTTCCCTTCAGCCGCTGCTGCATTTGAAGGGCACTGAATGGAATTCTGTGAAGGCCAAGACCGCACTCCCTGCACATTGCTCTGCGGACTTTGTCCCACAGCCGTTTCCTGGATTCGTGGATCTTTTTCCTCTCTCCTCTTTGCCTGGTGGGGCTTAAGGCTTGCTACTAAGGATTTCTTCCTCTAGAATTGCCTTCCTCTGCTTTCTTGAAGGAAAAAACAAAAATTTGGGAATAGTCTTAGAGAACCGAGGAAGGTATCCTAGGGAAGGAAGGTGGGAAGAGGCACGCAGGCAGTGGGGACAGGGCCGTGCTGATGGGGAGGCAGTGCCCGGGACGTGTGCGTGCTTGCAGGAAAGGTCACCATAGCCATAAAGTGCTGGCCGGGACAGGAGCCTGGGCTTGTGTTTCCAACACAGTCTCAGCTTTCTGTCAGCAGCTTCAAATGGGCCTCAGAAGCCCAAATTTTGATTGTTTTTTTGGATTAGTTGTGACCTGCCTTACCCATCCTGGAAAAGTTCCAGGCCACACATATTTATATGATATTTCTGAAATCTTGGTGTCCCAAACTATTTTTACAAGATGCTACGGGGTTGAGACATGTGTCCTGAGTAACGAGGGTGAGCCCAACATTGGAGACCATGTTCCCATAACTCTTAACTATTCTCCTTTGCCGAGTGACCCCCTGCTTGCATGCTTTATCACAGAATCACATATACCTACTGAAGAAAGTGTGACCCAGGAGGCCAGGCACTGAGTGGTCTCCTTGCCCCTCAGCCTCTCTCAGGGATGTGCAGGTGCAGCTGGGCTGACGTGGCCTCACGTGTAACCGATGATTCATTCTCTTGGAGGTGTTGGCCTGCCTTCATTTCCTAGTGGCCTGCTTTGTCTGCTTACTTGGGTTGAGCAGTGGACCTGTGGCATTGGGGAAACTTTTGCAATTCAGGCAATAAATTATAATTTTTCTAACCAGCTTCGTCAGATGATACTTCTCTGCTATGCGTGGACATGGAGGTTTATGCTGTCTTTGTAGAAATAAACTTTGGTGGATTTTGTAGCATCTGAACATCAAATTATGTAATCTTTGCTTCTTATTATTTCTTTAACTTCCTTTCACTTCTTGGACTTTTAGAGCTGTGCTACTCTTGAGGAATGCAATAAATGTAGGGGCTCTGGGACCCCTGCAGTGTGGGTTGGATTCCCTGTAGACGCTCAGCACATGAAGAATTTCCTCAGTCTTGGGGATCCCCAAGGCTGTTGTGAGGGCTGCAAGGTGGGGGGCCACAGGCCACCTCTTCTCTGACCTATACAGCTCCCTCCTTTTACTGGGGTGCCTGGTTATTCTGCAGAGGTTTTCCAGGACACAGCGTTTCCAGTTCTAAAAACCAGGACAGTGCAGGCAGACCGGGGTGGTTGCTGGCCCCACCTGTAACCTGCACACATGGTAAGAGTTATGGGGACACTGTGCCCTTGGTGTTGGCCGTGGTGCTGCCGGTGAGGACACACAAAAGGGCATGTGATACAGAGCAGTGAGCACCTTAGCAGTGGCTTTGCTGCTTTTGAGGCAATTCCTATTTCATCTGCCTTCTGCTTTCATCATGCCATCTCTGCCTCAATGTCTGTGGCTGTCAGAGAAGCTTCCAGCTCCAAATAAGGGCATTTGTAGCTCTGCTGTGCCTCCCCCAGAACCTCCACTCCCTCGGACCCCCGCACAGACCCACTCAACTCTTTCCCGCTCAGCCCCGCAGTCCCATCACTGGTGGGACTGCACTGACCACCATTGTTGATCTGTTCTGGACGATGCATTATTTCAGAGTTCGTGGAGTGTGTGCCAAGCCCCTATTCAGGCACATCCCCAGGCTTCCTCCTGCAGGCACTTCCTGGGAACTGAGGGGCCCAGGCAACCCAGGAGCCACATGCAATGGGAAATTGGCTAAAGCTGGAAAGCATGCTTGCTGCCACCATCCTGTTCTTCCTATTGGCTTCACATCCTCAGAAAGCCTCAGGCAGCCCCAGTCACAGCATCACATAATTCTTCCTTCATTGTGCATTGTGCATTGTGCATTGTGATTTCTCTCACCACTGTTGTGATTTTGCCCAATGCCTGCCTCCCTTTCCATACCTCCAGGTCATGAGTCTTGCCCACCATATCACTAGCACCTCACAGGGTTCCCCAGCGCAGCATGGGTGTTCCAGGGTGGTTTATTGGAAGAAGAGGTGGGGAGAGAGCACATGCAAACCCAGGCTGTGTGTGTGTACTGCACACCCAGCGCACCTGCAGGCCCACTGCCTCAGTGTCCGTGTACACATTAGTGCATCTCTTCTCTTTCATGATCATTATAAAGTTTTGCAAAGACTTTAAGGTAGAAACCCACCTTCCTTTCTCTTTGAAAATAAGATGGGATTTTATACATTTTCAGGCTTTCACCATGGGCCCCGTGCTGTTCTGCAGAGCTGACTCCCATGAGCTCTTCAGTGTCTGGGAGCAAATTTGTCTAGGCTGGAAGAGAGGAACTTAAAAAGAGAATGGTGGTGCTTTCATACAATTTCTTTGCTTCCCCCAAACACCATTTCCCTATCACCACTGTACATTTTACCTTTTTCCATATGAAGATTATTTTTCTTGGCAGGCAAGGAAGCAGATTCAAACTTGAACATTTTTACGGCTTTCTGTGCTGGCCTTAAACTGCAAGCCTTGTTCCTTCCTTGATTTTTCCTTTTGTCCAACAAAAATAAAAAGAGGATCTTTAGGAAGCCTGACCCTTCGATATGCCGGGGGACCTCCTGGTGTGACACTTCCAAGTTGTGACCTGTGGCTTGTCCTCCATGGACAAGTATCCACCCTCCTCCCTGTTAGGTCACACCCATCCTGGTACGCTGAGAATGGCAACAGAACTATCCCTTTCCTCAGTCTGGATGTCAGGCTTAGCAGCGTGGCTCTTCAGGCTGGCATTCCTGGTGTCAGGGTAGGTCTGTGCTGCTGTGGGGCTTGGTGGCATCACCAAGTTCTTTTTGTTGAGTCATTGCCTGGCCAGATCTTTTCAGGGCTCTCCTTTTGCAATTTCCTTTTTTATGTCAAATTTCAGGAGTATTCCTTTCCCCTCTTTCTTAGATTACTGAGACCTAGATTCAGCTGCCCTGTTGGCATTGATGGTAAGCATGCCCTCCAGTGTTTAGCATGGCCACCAGCACAGGGGGCCTCTGGCACTGACCCCCAGTTGCCAGGCCCTTCCTCATCAGGGCCATTACTGTGAGGGCAGAAGATGCTTGGCCCCTCTCTTATTCACTGTCTAATCTTTCATCTCCCCCACCAGCCCACACTCCTGCTTATCCCTGGGTACCCTGAGAGGTTTGCCCCAGTAGCTCATAACAGCATCTGAAAAGAGACCTACCCCAGTATGCTGGGTTTTAGGGGAGCCAAGGGTTCCCAAGCAGTTGAATGTCCCATCCCCAGACCTTCATCAGAGCCATTATTAAGCCCAGCCACTGGCTGAGCCGGTGAAGCCATATGGGAAGCACACTGCAAGCCCCACACTCCACTGAGCATGCACAGAGGGGTTCTTAGCTGCTCCCTTGGAAACTGCCCTGTGAGCACCATCATGCCCATTTCACAGGAAGTAGGGGCCAGAGGGAGGAGCAGCTCTCCAGGCCCACCCAGCTGGGATACAGACCTGTATGCCAGAGTGTGGACTCATAACTGTTACGCACATG